TACTTTTGTAAAATTATAAAGATGAAGACATGCATACAAAATGTAAGCCTGAATTTGATAGTTTCAGCAGATAAAAAATTGTCAAATTGCTACAAATTTCCGAAGTGTTTACTTTGCATTTCTATACTTAACCTCACTGTCAACCATAACCAGTTTGTGGACCAGTAGTAGTAATAACCAATACCTTGAGTTATTGGTTCAAACCATTAACCAGTGCCTAGGGGGACTACTGATTATTACATACTTCAAATAAGGTGTTGGGTGGTTTGTCTTAACCCGGAAAAAAAATTTTTGGAAGTTCCTGTGAGTAAATATTTGTTGAATGAAGGTAATGGAGGACACAAATGGGGTGTTCTCAGGGGGAAGGCTCATCATTATTTCTAGAAGAAATGGTTTATATGTGTATTTGGGTTGAGAATTGCTTAGAAATCTTGAATGTTCAAAACCGTGGAAAAGCGCATCATGGTTTTGAAATTTAAGCAATGTAGACTTGAACATGATGAGAAGAATCTAAAGTTTAGTCAGATTTATTGAAAACATCGCAGAATGATGCTAGATCTGGGAAATTATTTACCTCTATAATATTAGGATTGTCCCATAAGATTAATATTATACCTGTGCTAATTTTTGCAGAATGTAGTGAAAAGCTACCTGACATTCTTTGCAGCCAGTTGTTAGACTTTTCTTGCCCTTGCTTGGTTTTTTTCTTCACTTTCAACTTTCTCTTGTTGCTATGACAGTTTATTCAGCCCTGGGTTTGCTAAATTACAATACTGAACATTTTTATTTGAAGCTGATAAACTGAGCAAATCTTAAACCAGGTTTAATACTTTGCTCTCAAATTGGTTATCTTTTTCTGTTCCCTTACTTGCCATTTGTATTTAATCTCTTTGACCTTCTGGTTAATGGCTTTCATTGCCCCCAAGATGAAAGCTACACTTTTAGCCTGACCTCTGAGGCCTTTAACAATCTCACTCCAACCTACCATTCTAGCTCTGGTTTCACGAACCCTCTCTTTCAGCCACATTGGTTACTACCTGGATGAACACAGCACCATCCCATGGCCTCGCTCTTACTCCCTATTCTACCCACCTAAAATGTGTTACACAATGCTTTTTCCAGGGAAGATTGCCTATTTTAGGTTAAAAATGTGTTTGATTACTTTGAGATTAGCCATAATCTGCTAAATTAGCCTTTACTTTTTTGTCCAGATAGTTTATAAACCTAGAAATGTTAGTCATTTAATTTTTTTCCTTTTAATTCCTCAGTAGAACCTGAGATTGGTCATTTAGAATGTAATTTCCAGTGAAATTTGCTCATTGAGAAAACACCAGCCTAAGAGAGTAGAGAGAGGAATATGGTAGGATTTTGCAGTAGAGTTTTGTTTTTAAACTGAATGCAAACTTAAAACTATTTAGTGTCTATAGGAAGCCACCTTAAAAATAAGGTTATATATCTTAAAATAGAACTTGTTTCTTGAACTATTTTTTAGTTCCCATATAGATCATACAAAAAGAAGACTGTCTATGCCCAATAAAAATTTTTATGGTATTTCACATCATTTGTTTGAAAATCTAATATGTTTATATAATTAAAAGTGAAGACTAAAGATTTTAAATTAGTATACTTACTGATTCGTACATACACACACATTTCAAAATGTGTAGCTCCTTTTTTAAGTTGTTGGAAAAGTACAAAATTATGTGTCCTTCTTTGTTTTGTTTTGTTTTGTTTTGAGACGGAGTTTTGCTCTTGTTGCCCAGGCAGGAGTGCAGTGGCACGATCTCTGCTCACTGCAATTTCTGCCTCCTGGGTTCAAGCAATTCTCTTCCTTCAACCTCCCAAGTAGCTGGAATTACAGGCACACGCCACTGCGCCCAGCTCATTTTTGCATTTTTAATAGAGATGGGGTTTCACCATGTTGGCCAGGCTGGTCTTGAACTCCTGACCTTAGGTGATCCACCTGCCTTGGCCTCCCAAAGTGCTGGGTTTACAGCACTGAGCCACCGTGCCTGGCCAATTATGTGTTCTTAATATGAAGACTAGTATCAGTTACTTACAGTGCGACTTTTATTTTAATTCAAAATAACACTTTTAAAATTCTAGGAACTGGATATGTTTTTCCTGAGTGATAACTTGCTTTTAATTCCTATATGTCCAAAGATTTTATGCCATCTTAGTCTTTCATCATTTTCCCAATAATGAAAAGAATGGAATAACATAAAAGAAGGGAAAGTACTACATTATTTTGGACACCTTAAACTTGTAATTAGTCATATTGTAATTCACTGTTTATGTGCTGCTGAGGTGAAAGGTTTAAATAAGTGTTGTGAAAGTATGGTTTATAGTGAGGATTTTGAGCTTGTGAATAAATATAAGAGAATTTACAGTGCTGTTTAACTTTAAGAGGAAGAATATCTTTTACTGGCATATTCAACATTGAAAACCCCTGTATGCCCAACCTTGTGGTAGGACCATCATTGTGTGAAACCCCAAAACATATTATAAGCATTGCTCCTTTAAACTGTTAATAGTCGTTTATATAGGATATTTACCTTTTCAAGTGCTTATCATTCTTTTTACATCTCCATCTGGGATCTTTTTTCTGCAGGCTGAAGACTTTTCTTTGGTATTCCTTTTTGGATCTGAAAGAGAGAGGATTGTTTCTTTTCCTTTCTTCCCCTTTCTTCAGTGGGTCTCACTGTATTGCTGAAGCTGTTTTCGAACTCCTGGACTCAAGCAGTCCTCTCGCCTTGGCCTCTCAAAGTGCTGGAGTCACAGACATAAGTCCCTGTACCCATTCTACTTATGTTTCACGAATACTGTGCAGTCTCTAGTTTTGGCTCAGCTGTTCTTGTTCTCTGTTAGGCCAACCAGAGTTACACTCTGAAAGTGCCAGTTTAGAAGTTAGCCAAAAACCTGTGAGGGATTTTTACATATATTGAGGAGCCCACTTCTCATCTACAGCAGTTTTTCTCTGGTACCCTGTCCCCTAAAGCCTACCTGCCTGCCAGTCTCTCATTGTTTTCATTGAGACTCCCACTGTCTGCCTGGAAACCCATCATTAATTTTAAGCTAGTGGGATAGGAAATGGCATTCAGCAATTATCATCTGTTTGAACACTTAAATTTACTGGTAAGTAAATGTTGATAAAAATGTTTGGTTTTAAGGCATTAATTACTGTATGTCAATTTTCAGGCCTTAACCATTCTATGTAAACATGTAAATTTATTCAGTTAAGTAATCAAGTCGATAAGTTCCTATTGGGTTAAGTACTGTGATTATTGAGTGAGATCAAGACAGGGTCTCTGTTCTGGGTGACTTTATAGGCTAATAGAAATTCTTATACATGTCATATGTTGATAAGAAAAAACATATCCGTTAGGAGGCCGAGGTGGGAGGATCGCTTGAGCTCAGGAGTTTGAGACCAGCCTGGCCAACATGGTAAGACTTTGTCTACACTAAAAATAAAAAAGAATTAGCCAGGTATCGTGGTGCCTATCTGTAGTCCCAGTTACCCTTGAGACTGAGGCAAGAAGATTGCTTGAGCCAGGGAAATTGAGGCTGCAGTGAGCTATGATTACCCACTGCACTCCAGTCTGGATAACAGAGTGAGACCCCATCTCTAAGAAACATAAAATACAGGAAAACCCATATTCTTTCAAATAAATATTTACCACCTTTCTGCTCTCTGAGGTCTTTCAGATAATAAATATTTGAGTTACATACCTTATTATGTTAACATAGATCTCTATTGTTTGCTGCTTCAGTCTGATTTCTAAACACTTGTTGCATTGCCCTTTTTTTGGTATCAGTCTTTGTCCTAGTGCCTTTCTTTGGCTTTTTTCTTTTGTTGACAATTTATGATAGTGTGAAGAGCTACATGGAAGAATGTGGTGAACACCTGTTTTAAATTACTGTCCCCAGGCTTGTTTTCTTTCTGATATTTTTAGATGACAATGTTAATTATGCCTAGCCTAAAAGAAGATTTAAGTTCAAGCCAATGTCCATCTTGTTAGGGCCCACTGAAAATATTAAGCTGCCAAACTTTTAGGTTACCATAGGGTAAACAGTATGCCATGAAGGTAAGACCTGCATATCATTGACTTGATCACTTTACAAAGCTTTTTTGTCATCATAATATAGTTTTGTTTTGTTTGTTTGTTTTTGAGACAGGGTCTTGCCGTGTTGCCCAGGCTGGTCTTAAACTCCTAGTCTCAAGCAATCCTCCTGTTGATCTCCCGAGTAGCTGGGATTATAGGGACGCACCACTGTGCCCAGTGATATAGTTGTTATACTCTTGAAACTTTAGTTTTAATCCTCTATCCTTCCTGATACCCCCTTCAATACCATATGCAGTATCTCAATATGATGGTATGTTAAGAAAAATAGCAGATTTTCCCAACTTTGTTGCATAGTCTGTGACTGTCTTCCTGGTATTTAAAAAAAAAAGTGCAAGTGGAAGGGTAACTATAAATATCATTACATTTTCAGATTTGAGAAATCCTTTTCTTTTTGCTCTTAATGAAGAGATATGAGAATAGAGAATGGTTCTTTAGAGGTTGGTCTGGGTGGTCTGTTTTATGAAGCAATCTGCTTTAATTCCTTCTTAAAAAATATCAGTGCCGGGCGTGGTGGCTCATGCCTGTAATCCCAGCACTTTGGGAGGCCAGGGTGGGCGGATCACAAGGTCAGGAGTTCAAGACCAGCCTGACGAACATGGTGAAACCCTGTCTCTACTAAAAATAGAAAAATTAACCAGGCATGGTGGCACACAGCTGTAATCCCAGTTACTCAGGAGGCTGAGGCAGAAGAACTGCTTGAACCTGGGAGGAGGAGGTTGCGGTGAGCCAAGATCGCACGATTGCACTCCAGCCTGGGCAACAGAGAGACTCTTGTCTCAAAAAAAAAAATTATCAGCATGTCAGTTCAGGTTTAGTTAGAATATTGCTGTCATAGATGTCTTAAGAAATTTAATGTTTTATATTATTTTCCACTAGGAAACCACCCCTACTCCTAATCCCCCGACTACAGAAGAGGAGAAAACGGAATCTAATCAGGAGGTTGCTAACCCAGAACACTATATTAAACATCCTCTACAGAACAGGTAAGCTTTCTGACACTTAGGTTTTCTGAGTTAGGCCACAAGGTAAATGGTGAATAGGGCAAGTTTGAAGGCAAAGTTAGATTATGAGACTAGTTTTAGATATGCTAAGGTTGAGGGTTCCATTTTCATTTGGATGACCCATGACCAGCAGACAGTTTCATGTGTGAGTCTTGAGTTCAAAAGGAACTATGTGAGAGATTAGTTTGAAAAGTATTGGTCATAATGGAAGCCACATTAGTAAATAAGTTCCCTTAAGGAGAAGTGCACTTGACTCATGACAAAGACCTGGGATCCTAGCATCACATAGGGGGCTTTTGTTGAAGAAGAATACCTGTGAAGGATGGACATACAAAGACAGTGGTGGTTGCCCAGCATGGTGGCTCTCACCTATAAACCCAGCACTTTAGGAGGTGGAGGCGGGCGGATCACCTGAGGTCAGGAGTTTGAGACCAACCTGGCCAACATGGTGAAACCCCGTCTCTACTAAAAATGCAAAAATTAGCTGGGCGTGGTGGCAGGCGCCTGTAATCCCAGCTGCTTGGGAGGCTGAGGTGAGATAATTGCTTGAACCCAGGAGGTGCAGGTTGCAGTGAACCAAGATCGCGCTCCATCTCACAAAAAAAAAAAAGACAATGGTGGTCATGGAAACCAAGAAGGTGGTTTGTTCTAAGATAGGGTGTAAGGTTATAGCACATGCTAAAAAGGTCAAATGAAGCAAGGTGTCAAAATCCATTGATTTGAACACTCTTGTAAAAGTCCCTACTGACTTAGGAAAAAGTGTTTTAGTGTAGTTCCATAAAACATGGAAAAAAAGATCAGGGCAGTTTGAAGAGTGAATAGGAGATATACAGATGTATAGAGGAAGAACAGGTGACTTGAAGCTGGACTGAGAATGAGAAAGGAGAGCCAGGGAATGTGGAGTTTGAAGATTCGTTGGTTTGTAACTGAGAGAGGAGAGGAAAAGGGTATAGATTAAAATTAGTTAGGTTTTCATAGTTAACAGTGTAGCAGGCAATTGAGTATTAGTTCATTATATGGCTTTTCCCAACTCTTCCCACTCCTTTCCAGTAGATTTGTTTTTATTTATTTTCTGGGGTATGTGAGAATTAACTTGAGTTCACTGAATGCTGATGGTGGGAAGAAAATGGCAGTTTAGAAACATTGTAACAATGTAGAGGAAAGTAAATTGGAATTCTAAGGTTCTTTCAATTCATTTCGTTGTCTTTTTTTGTTTTTATTTACTTTTTTTAGGGCAGACCATTCACTCTCTACTTAAAAGAGTCCACAAATCTATTTATAATTTAGTTTCATTTATTAAAATTTTTTTATGATCTTAATTTTTTAAAAATGTTTCCTTTATTCGTCATGGAAGACCTAGTGAAATAAATAGTTCAAATATGCTGTATGCAGTTTTCTCATAGGAGACCCTTTGGTTCAGTATTTCCTCCAATGAGGAACAAATCAGTTTTTTAGACAATGGAGATTGTCAGCTAGTGGGACATCAGAGGTCAAACAGTCTATAAAGGATAAAATCCTTCCTCAGGAAAGCAATGTACCACATGTATTAGGTTGAACAATTCATTAGTGGCAGTTTTATATAGTTTAACCTAATAGTAGCACCAAAAGCCACATTTTTTTTTTTTTTTTCACTTTTTTCAGTGATATAAAACAAACTCTGTATATCTTTTAGCTGTCTGTGAACCGAGTTCTTGGTGTCGCTCTTATTGTGGGGAGAAGTAAAACAAGGCGTATATCCCTCACAGCTTGAATGGAGTCTAAGAAGGGATTCTTAAGTGTCCTCATCAGTTTGGAAAACAAACAAAAAAAAAGTTAAAGCTTAAAATGAAATCCCTGGGGACTTCAGTTTCTCTATAAATTCTACTTTTTGTGTAAAATATCAAGTATCATTTGGAAAAGTACTATGTTTTATGGCTCCAATGTTGGCAGTTTTCTTATTATTCACTTCTTGAGTTTTACTTTTCTTTACTCCCCAGAGTAGTCAATGTTAAATTTGGTTTGTATTCCAGAAGTATTAAATGCACATATGTATACTTTTTAATACAAATGTCTATACGGTTGACTTTTCTGTTTGTATGTGCAGATTATACCTCATAGTTTTAAACTGCCGTCTTTTATTATATTCATGTACAGCCATGTATTTTATTAGGCTTACATTAAGGGCTGTATAGATTTTTCTTTTTACACACAGTGCTGTAATTTACATACTTATATACTTGTGCACTTGTGTGAATATATTTATAGGGTAAAATTTTAGATCTCCTAGAACAAAGATTACCCTTTAACAACTTTTGCGCAGATACTGTTGCATTATTCTGCTTTATTGACTTAGACTTAATAGTTTGAGAGTTCCTGGTTTCTACGTCCTTGCCAACTTGTGTGATTAGTCTTTTAAGTTGTTGCCAGTCAGGTCGGTCCCAGTCTGATTTGGGAAAACAATTTCAGTATTTTCAATTTTGCATTTTAAAATTGAAGTTTCAAAATATTTTCATATTGATGATTTGTGGTTTTTATCTAAGGACAGATTATTCAGTTCTTCTTTTTTTTTTTTTTCTTTTGGATTATCTCTTTTTCCCCTACTTTCAAGCTAACAAGTTATGGAATATCTTTTCCAAGTTTATTTCCAAGCATTTTGTATTACCGTGCTAACTCACCCAAGGCAGGGAAGTTGGAGGAGTATTAAGTCAGAAACAGTTTGTCCAAATCATTTGTCTTCTAACATTGACTGTGGAATTACAGGGTTTTTTTTTTTAGAGGTCTTTAGTTTTCATGTAGGCAAATACTGCTTTTCCTTAGTGGTTTCTGGGTTTCATATCAATTTTAGGAAAACTACCACACAATTGAGCTTATTTTTTTTTTTTAACTTTTTAATAGTTGCATAGTAGTCACTTGCATGGATGTACGATATTTTATTTAAATCAGCAGTACTCAAATATTTGGTCTCACCATCCCTTTACACTCTTAAATTATTGAGGACTCTACAGAGCTTTATGTGAGTTTTTATCTATTGTTATTTACTACATTTTTACAGTAAATAATGCTAAGGTGTTTTTTCACATTTTAAAATGAATATATAATTTCACCTGAAAAACTTGAGAAATGTAAAATTATTCGTTTAGAAAATTTATCACATGTTAACATAAATGACATTTTATAATGAAAATAATTATTTGAACTAAAAAATATATATTAGAAAGAATGGCATTTTTGCCATCTTTTTTTTGTTTTGGTTTGGTTTTGGTTTTTGTTTTTTGAGACGGAGTCTCGCCCTGTTGCCCAGGCTGGAGTGCAGTGACACCATTGCGGCTCACTGCCACCTCCGCCTCCGGGGTTCAAGTGATTCTTCTGCCTCAACCTCCCGAGTAGCCAGAACCACAGGCGCGTGCTACCACACCCGGCTAATTTTTATAGTTTTTAGTAGAGATGGGGTTTCACCATGTTGGCCAGGCTGGTCTTGAACTCCTGACCTTGTGATCCACCTGCCTCGGCCTCCCAAAGTGCCGGGATTACAGGCGTGAGCCACCGCGCCCGGCCACATTTTTGCCGTCTTAGAAGTCAACTGGATTTTCATAGCTGTTTCTGCCTTCAGTCTGTGGAGTTAAGATGTTTCACTGGAAGTATAAGAAGACAGTACAGCCTCACACAGGTATTTGGTTGGAAAAGGGAGAATAGTTTTTAAAAGCCTTTAAAAATAATTGTTGATATTATCCTTTGATACACTACTAGGTGTCTTCCCCCCTCCCCTTTTTTCCTGGGACACATGCTCAAGAGATACTGGGTTTCTTAGAGATTAGTTGAAACGTGGAATCTGAAACTATATCCAAGAATTTGTTTCTACTTTGTTACATTAAAATCCATTGGTCTGTCTCACATCTGGAATGGATCTCTTACCTGTGTAAGATTTTTAACATCATACATCGCGTATTTGGAAAATAATTTTTCAGAGAGTTACGCAGATCTTCCAAATGTTGACACATTTTCTTATATAGTATCAAACAATAATAATTCATTAACATTACCTCTAAACTCATTAAGCATCTTTGGCACCTGCCACCATGCCCATCTAATTTTTGTATTTTTAGTAGAGACAGGGTTTCACCCTGATGGCGAGGCTGGTCTTGAACTCCTGACCTCAGGTGATCTGCCCACCTCAGCCTTCCAAAGTGCTAGGATTGTAGGTGTGAGCCACTGTGCCCGGCCCAAAGGCATTCTTATATGAAACTCACATTATTAGTACTGAGAGTTGGTAGTAATAAATGTACAGTGACTACTCGTATAGTTTTGTGTCACTGTCTTGGTTCTTGCTAAAGCACCAGCAGATTTAACTACTATTGCTTTTGCACCATTAGTGCAAATGTGAATACTGAAAAGCAAAGTGACTTCTTAGCATTATTATGAAAATGGATCTTAGGGCCTCCTGCCTGTCTGCAAACCACATTTTGAGAACTGCTGATTTAAATAATTCGTTGTTGATAAACACTTAGGATGTTTTCACATTTTCCAAAACTAAAAACGTCATTTGTTTGTTTTTGGAGACAGGGTCTCACTCTGTCACCCAGGCTGAGGTGGTGTAATCTCGGCTCACTGAAGCCTTGACCTTCTGTGCTCAAGCCATCTTTCCACCCCAGGAATGCATCACCACCCATTTTAGTATATTTTGTAGAGTTGGAGTTTTGCTATTTCCCAGGCTGGCCTTGAACTCCTAGACTCAAACAATTCATCCACCTCGGCCTCACAGAATGCTGGGATTACAGGCATGAGCCAACGTGCCTGGACTTTTTTTTTTTTGAAGAGACATGGTCCCATTCTGTTGCCCAGACTGGGGAGCAGTGGCATGATAATAGCTCACTGTAGCCTCAAATTTCTGGGCTCAAATGACCTTCCTGCATCAGCCTTCTAAGTAGCTAGGTCCATAAGTGTGCACCACCATGCCTGGCTAAGATTTTTTTTTTTTTTTCTTTTTTGGAGAGATGCAGGGTCTT